AGGTGGGGAAGGTAGCAATCAATTGGCCATGCGGAGTGGAAGCTTGCAGGTATAAGCACTCCACATGTAAACTTGTAAGAAATCTTCCTGTTTTCAGCCCCATGCACCACTTCCAACTGCTATAGCACTTTGTGCCTCTAAATTCTGAAAATTTGTAGGGTTTCTCGGGTCAATTCTCACCAGAAAGATCTTCCTCCTCAGGCACTTAGTTTTTCTACTCTAGCTTTCTCAAGTAGAGACTGTCCATTCTGCCATTTGCATTTGAAATCTCTAATCCACTGCTGTGGCATTGTGGGTTACCTCTGCCTTCACTATTTTATATTTTTATTCTCTTTTTATATTGTTTAAATAAACTTTTTATATTTTTACTCTCTTTTTATATTGTTTAAATAAATTATTTATTTCATTATATATTTATTATCCTATTTTATTTTTAAATTCTCAATCCTGAAATCCACTGAAAAATTAAAATATTGAGCAAAATTTTAAAGAAATAAGAAAACTACCACAACTCAACCCACAAACACTGAACCATACCAAAAAATTCTGTAAAATATTCCCTGAGGTGAAGACACCAACATATCTGATTCAAGGCTACATAGCTCATCCTGGCAGTGAAACCTAGACATTGCCTAGCCTAGCCTAGTCTGACTAATAATAGTAAAAGTAAGGCACCATCATAATAATATAAAATAGGCAGTGTTTGCTTACCAGCTGGCCTGGAGTGGTAAGGAAACTGATAATAAAAAATGGAAGCCTGTGTTACAGTGAAAAATATTTCACATATAGTGACCCGCAGTAACTTGGCAGGTAGACCACACGGGTACTGAACTAAAAGCAAACTGGTGCATTTGGTAAGGAATTAAAAGAAATATATGAGCTAGTTAAAATAATTGGCTAGTTTAAAAATGCAAATGAAAGAGGATAAATAGATTTCAAAAACTTGGAACAATGTAGAGTTAGAATAGCTGATTGTTCTTTTAGACTCAATGTAAAAGATAAAATTGAGAAAGTCTTGAGACCCATTAAAATTTAATCTGTTGGAATAGACCACATTAAGGATACGGGCTTTATCTCTAGTATTAAAATATCTAAGTGAATTAAGATACCTCAAAACAAAAATAAGAATAAGGGCATAGCATTTCCAGAATAGCCCACCAGCTCCAAAGTAATCTAGTTTAAATCTAGAGAGCTATGAGGACAAAAAGAGCAAAGAAGCACAACTTATATGAAACTCATGTTCTCAAAAAGATCTCTGACATGTGAAAGTTACTGGAATGAAATAGATAAGAAATCTGTTACGTTTTGAGACACTTGTACTGTCAAATAAATCACGAGGCTGTATTTAAAAGTCCCGTGACTGAGTCTTGGACACCTACCCATTATAAGCAGAATGCGAGCCAAGAAAGCCGTGCAGCCTGTAAGAAGGGTGTGTTCCCCAATGCCCACTTCAGAGATGACCAACAAGGAAAAGGGTCAAAGAAGAACCCCACAGAGTGGAGCTGGGGACCACAAAGAAAAATGGACAAGGAAGCTCTTCCCAAGAGAAAATTCAGGGCCTAAGTAAACGAACCTTCTCTACCCAGGAAGGGGGGACTTCACAGTGTTGTCCCAGCTAGTCATGAAAGGGTTACCTTTCATGTTTTACATAAGCCTTATGAAAATAAATCAGAAAACTGATGTTATAGAAACTCTACAGTTGAAGATTTTCTACTTAGCCCTGCTACATAACATTCCTATAAGCCTTGGGCGATGCTTATTTTGAACTTCAGTGAGATTCAATATAGTGATTGTATGTGGTGCTATTTTCTGGCTGATGTGTTCCATCACTGATTCCTCCATTGATAGGGAGCCTACTGTATTGAGCTGGGACAAAGTTAATCTTAATATATGGAGCCAATGACAATGAAGGTAATCCAGGCAAGTTAGTAATTTGAAACCCATTAGTACAATATTCTTTGGATATTTGTTTAGCATTTATGTAAAGGTGTTATTAAGAATCTGATTTTATATTAACAAAAATTATATGTTTCTTTCATTTTTATCAAAAATAAGGAATTTTTAGACGTGTTAGATGTAAAACATTTTTTAACATTTATATTTGTCTTTCATTTCACTTTTTCCCCCCACCACTAATATTTGGATGGTGGTAGTCACTCACAATCAGTCAAAATAAAGTTAACTTACATGAATATAATTATTAAAATCATGTACAAATTGTGTTTTAAAGTTTCTTTTTGGCTTTCACACTGAAAATGTGGTTCTGAAGATCTTGTTCTTTCTCACTCTTTTTAGTGATTCTCCGAACTAGGCATCATTTGGGGAATCAAATGAAAAATATTAAAATTAATACATTTTTTTCCCTGAAAATATCACCATTGCATGCAGGAAACCATGTGATTTCAAGATATCAGTGGATCATGAGTGCTGAGTTCAAGTGATGGTTGAAGGGCTTCCGGTGATGGCACCATGCTGATGTAAAACTCCTCCCCAGAAATTGGCTATTGCTAGCAAGAATTTTTTTCTTTCTAATTCACATTCTAGGATTCTGTTTACTTCAGCAGAATTGGTTCCAGATTACATTTCACTAGTTACTTAAGAATTCTGATTGGAAACCTAAGTTTATATCTACAGTGTTTTTGTGCTTCTGGGGAGTGATCACCCAAAAATTGCTCTTCTAGGTTACCCTTCAACCAGCTCCTGGCTCCCATTATGCTCATTGAGCAAAAGCTTATATTAGGAAATTCTCAAAGGTTTTTTTAAATTTTTGATTGATTTGGTAATAACTTTCATTTAGACTCTTCATGTACTAATGGATGTCCGACCAAGATAGTCTTGATCAAGAGCAGCCATGACAGCAGTGATTCGCGCACTTGATACTAAATGCCTAAACACATTTAGTAGCTTTGTAGAAGGAAAGTGAAGGGAAAATCAGAGACCCATTTTTTTGTGTGTGTGTGAGGAAGATCAGCCTTGAGCTAACATCTGCCAATCCTCCTCTCTTTTTGCTGAGGAAGACTGGCCCTGGGCTAACATCCATGCCCATCTTCCTCTACTTTATATGGGATGCCGCCACAGCATGGCTCGACAAGCGGTGCATCAGTGCCTGCCCGGGATCCGAACCAGCAAACCCCGGCCGCGGCAGCAGAGCACGCACACTTAACCACGTGCACCACCGGGCCACCCCCAGAGACCCGTTTTTCATTTATCTTTCCCTACTGACCTCGTGGAGCTGCCTTGAATGTTGAATAAGTTTTTATATATGAAAGTTCCTGTGCAAACAGAGGTGCCAGTTTATTTTTAACATCAATAACAATAATCTCAAATGTTTCTCATCTCTACTTGCCATCTGTCAGCAGGAATGGAAATACCTTAGGAAAGTATCAGATGTCATAAGAAAATTAATATTTTCTTTACTTGACTTTTTCTAATCTCTCCCCTTATTCTTCCTCCACAGGAGAAAATTCGGGAAATTAAATTAAAAAGTGGAATTATTACTTAGCCTATACCTAGATGACATAAATATTTCTAAGTAATTATCCTCTTTACATAGTTAGTTGAGCAATTGGCACACTATCAGTAAAGTTTAAAAGAAAGGATATTCTTGCTGTTGTGGTAAATCAAAAATGGATTTTGTTTGTATTTACATGTCAAACTTCAAACTTGATTGAGTCTTCCCATAGTAAGTTAGTGTCTTTTTTTTTTTTTGTGAGGGAGATCAGCCCTGAGCTAACATCCGTGCGAATCCTCCTCTTTTTGCTGAGGAAGACCAGCTCTGAGCTAACATCTATTGCCAATCCTCCTCCTTTTTTTCTTCCCCAAAGCCCCAATAGATAGTTGTATGTCATAGTTGCACATCCTTCTAGTTGCTGTATGTGGGACACGGCCTCAGCGTGGCCGGAGAAGCAGTGCGTTGGTGCGCGCCCGGGATCCGAACCCGGGCCGCCAGTAGCGGAGCGCGCGCACTTAACCGCTAAGCCACGGGGCTAGCCCTAGTGTCTTTTGATACTCAGGAAGTTAATAAGGAAAAAGCTACACTGAATTGAACATTCTAGTTATTTGTGCTTAGAAATTTAAACCAAATCTAATAACCTTTACAAGGCACAATGCAATTAAAACAGAGCTTGGTATGATAGAAAAATGATGATTTGCAAAATCTCAGAATTGTCATGATGCTAGTAGATAGAAAGACAACATGCTGCTCCTAATAAATACTACCCACAGCGATAAATCCCTATCAAAATTTCAATGGCATTTTTCCTAGAAATAGATAAAACAATCATAAGATTCACATGTAACCACAAAAGACCTCAAATAGCTAAAGCAATCTTGAGCAAGAAGAACAAACCTGGAGGCATCACATTTCCTGATTTCAAACTGTAGTACAAAGCTATAGTAATCAAAACATCATGGTACTGGCATAAAAACAAACACACAGACCAATGGAACAGAATAGAAAGCCCAGAAATATACCCAGGGATATATGGTCAACTAACTTTTTTTTTTTGGTGAGGAAGATTGTCCCTGAGCTAATATCTGTTGCCAATCTTCCTCTTTTTGCTTGAGGAAGATTGTCCCTGAGCTAACATCTGTGCCAATCTTCCTCTATTTTGTATGTGGGCCGCTGCCGCAGCATTTCTTGATGAGTGATGTGTAGGTCCATGCCCAGGAACTGAACCTGTGAACCCTGGGCTGCAGAAGTGGAGCACACCAACTTAATCACTACACCAGCAGGCCAGCCCCAGGTCAACTAATTATTGACAAAAGCATCAAGAGTACACAATGAAAAAGACAGTCTCTTCAATAGTGTGAGGAAGACTGGACAGCCACATTCAAAGAATAAAATTGCACCCCTATCCTACACCATACATAAAAAACAACTCAAAATGGACTAAAGACTTACATGTAAGATCTGAAACCCTAAACTCCCAGAAGAAAACAGAGGGGAAAAGCATCTTGATGTTGATATTGGCAATTATTTTTTGTATTTGACACCAAAGGCAAAGGCAACAAAAGAAAAAATAAACAAGAGGGACTACTCCAAACTAAAAAGTTTCCGTACAGCAAAAAACAATCAACCAAAGGAACAAGTAACCTAAGGAATGGGAGAAAATATTTGCAAACCATGTATCTGATAAAGGGGTTAATATCCAAAATATACAAAGAATTCATACAACTCAATAGAAAAAAAACAAATAATTAAAAAATGGGGTAGGGGCCAGCCCGGTGGCGTGGTGGTTAAATGTGTGTGCTCCACTTTGGCCGCCCGGGGTTCGTGGGTTCAGATCGCAGGCACGTACCAACACACTGCTTGTCAAGCTACACTGTGGCAGAGTCCCATATAAAGTAGAGGAAGATGGGCACGGATGTTAGCCCAGGGCCAATCTTCCTCAGCAAAACAGGAGGATTGGTATCGGATGTTAGCTCAGGGCTAATCTTCCTCACAAAAAAAAAAATAATAATAATAATGGGCAAAGGACCTGGATGGGCAATTTTACAAAGAAAACATACAAATGGCCAAAAGGTATGTGAAAAGACACCAACATCACTAATCATTAGGGAAATGCAAATTGAAACCACAATGAGGTGTCACTTCACATCTTTTAGGACATCTAGTATCAAAAAGTCAACAGATAAGTGTTGAAGAGGATGTGGAGAAAAGGGAACCCTTGTACATTGTTGATAGGAATGTAAATTGGTACAGCCATCCTGGGAAACAGTATGGAGGTTCCTCAGAAAATTAAAAATAGAAATACCTTATAATCCAGCAATCCCACTTCTGGTTATAGGTCCAAAGCAAATGAAATCAGGATCTTGAAGAGATATCTGCACTCCCAAGTCCATTTCAGCATTATTCATGGTTGGGTGTGCTTGTAGTCTGTTTGGGGAGAAAGGATGTAAAGAGGCAGAGGGAGGCAACGGAGTGAGCTGGAGGAAGGAGAAGTCATTTTCTTGAATGTGAGATCTATTACTGAATACAAATAGCCTGATGGAAGGTGAGAAATCCTATCTAGAGCTAGGACAAGGGTATAAATGATTAGACAAATGGCAGATAGGGGACTGAGTCTAACATTTTCACATGCAACGTGTGGATTGCCCAATACTGAGAACAGTATGGGGAGAGACTGGTTAACTGTTTAGACACCCTAACCTCAAACTCATGGTCCAGTTGTAGACACAAAATAGCCCCAAGCAGGGAGGGAGGGGGAGAAAAAGAAAAATAACATTCATTAATACATCCTGGCACATCATTAAATATTTTACATACCTTATTTTGACGACATTTATTATTTTTTTCCAATTATGAGTAACGTGGTCCTTAAAGAAACTTAAGGTATGAAAAAGAATAAAAATTACTTATAATGGCACAACCATAGATGACTATAAACCACACAGGGTTTATAGAATTTATGCCCTACAACACAGCATTTTATACATTGTTTTCCTTGTTTGCCATCATCTTTGTCACATTATCAGCTGTTCCTGGAAAAAACTAATCTTTAATGACTTCTCTTTTGGCCATTAGTTTGGGAGATATCAGAATTGCTCTCAACCTTATATCAAATATTTACAATATTTATTTTAAAAAACTTTTTCTTCAAAATGTACCACAAGAATCAAAAATAGTGGAAATAATGCAAGTTTCTCTTCACACTGTCCCGTATAGAGATTTTGGGATCCTAACACGAAAATGAGCTCTCACTGATTACATGGCTAAATGATCTGTTATCCATGTGGACACAAGCCTGTCTTGATGATCAATGATGATGATTTTCAAAAATAAGTAATTTCACTCAGTATATTTGTATTAGTATGGAATAAACAATTTTTTCTGTTTAGTATTTCACACTAATTGCCCTCTGAATATCAAATATTTATTCATATACTAATTATAATCAAGTATTTCAGGATATTAGGTATGATTTTACGCAGTAACATAAAGGGCAGATGTTAATATCGTATGTTTTTGTGCTGCTTCAATCATCTGGGAACTATAGTAACCAAGTCACATTAGCAATGCTATTACTGGCTGGGGTTAATATCATGCCATTTAATGTGGAAAACCAATAAGCTAAGCTGGGCTTCTTTCCCTAAGCTAGGCCAGTTAGAATGATAAAGGACCATGGACTTCTATTGTAAAAAAATTTCTATATAGAAATGACTTTATATTGACTCAAAATATACAAGTACACAAATCACCATTCTTATAAACATAATAAGAAATGTGTTTCTAAGGCTTGGCATGATATTGGTGGATGACACAATAATAATAACATTTTCAGGTATGAAAAGAAAGGTTTCATTTAAGGCAACCCTTCCTCCCACAGGGAATAAGCTGAAGTCCATAGAGGTTGTTACAGCCTAAGGTCACAGAGTCTGTTGGTTTTAGATATGGAAATAGAATTCAATTCTTTTGATTTACAGTCCATCGCAAAACTACAGGGCCTCCTAGTATAATTGTAGAGAAACAGTTGCTTAATTTTATTGATTTGCTTTCTTTCCAGGAGAAAACAAGCAAACAAAAACTAAAGCTTAGTTGTTCCCAAAAACGTTGCTCTTACAATGGAATAAAAAAGGAAAATGTGATTTTGTCTAGCAGCATCCACTCTTTTGAGTCTATATATCACATTTACTGGACCCTTAGCATTTTTGTCTTAAAATAAGCACCTTATCTTTCCTTTTCCTCTCCTTTAAGCTCTTTTGGTTGAAAGGCAGAGCACTGAGGGAGACTAAGGGTAAAATCAACACAAAAGAGTTCTTACAGTCGAACAGACCAAATCTGGCTCAATTTATGAGCCAGGAAAGATGCTTCCTTAACGACTTAAACTAGATCTATACTGAGGCAATTCTAACTCATTTATTTTACGAGCTGAGAAAAAAGTTTTCTTGTTGTTTTTCCTGCGATACAAAATCGAATTCCCTAAGTGAAAGGGTAGAATTATGTCCAGAAAAACTCTAAAATTGCTGGTAACCTTTTTCCTTGACTGTAGGTTAAACAGGTAAAATCTTATTTCATTCTGTTTCCCTCCCTCAGTTTTCAGTGCCCACCACAGTGCAAGCAAGATTCATTTTTAGAGGCAGTAAGTGAAGAGAAGAATCTGCATTGCCAAAGGGTTAGAGACTGCTTTTTTCTCTGATTACTCTGGTGTGCACAGCAGCCACTTGCTGGTGGAAGTTGTTTTGAGAACATTCCCACAGAGAACAGGAGATGGAGCTCTTCCCTAACACGAACTCAAGGTGCTTCCCGTCTTTTCGGATTAACCTCTTTTACTTTATTCTACAAAATTCGGAGACTCCCAGAAATCAGGGCTGCTTCCATTTCCCCTGATTATCAGTTACTTATGTTGGGAAGTATCCAATTTGGGGAATCAAAATCCTTCCAGACTCCTGATCTATTATTTCAAAATGATGAGAATTTGAAGCGGAAGCTCTGAGTCCCAGGGCTACGAGATTCAAGGACGCAAGGGGAATATTCCCCACAAAGAAGCAAATCCCAAACTACAGAGCAGGCTGCAGGCAATGCTTGTCTGGAGATGATGGAGCTTCTGGGTGTGTGTGTGTGTGTGTGTGAGTGTTTATCTACAGCAAAGTTAGACCTTGGCCCTCTTTCACATGGACAATTGATAGTTAATGATCTCAAGTAAAGTCTATGCAAATGAAGCTTTAAGTCCCTTCTTTCAGTCAGAGTGCTGCACGTAAATGCCTTCTACATGGAAACAGCGGGCTGCCCCTGGAGTTTGCTGATTTAACTGGCCGACTTGTGAGGATGACCACGCATGTCCTCTTCCCCTGCTTACCCCTCCTAAGAATGCTCTCTTCTCTCCAGTATTCCTATTTCATTTCTCAGCTTTGTTCTAGATAGATCTTCTTCCATTCCTTTCCCTTTTTATTCTGTTCAAATGGTAGGAAATAATTTTGGAAATAAAAACTCCTCACAACTCACAGGAAGGAAGTAAAAGAGCAGTGTTTTAAACATTACTCTTTCTAACAAAATACTAAAGATACTAAAAATACAAAATCTTTTCATACTTCTGAAGGAGTGGGCTTGCTGGACTTTTGTTCTCACATTTAGTCCACTGGGAATTTTTAAAATTAATCACCCCATATGTTGAAGTATAATCCTCTTTAGGAAAAGCCTCCATGACATCTTGACTGAAACTATTACAGTTCAAAGCAGATAGCTGGGAGGTTCCCATTGGACACAACGCTCGGATCAGAGAGATCCTTGGAAACGGCGTTTATTAGCTCATCCTCTGTGGCACTCCTAGTGCGTGCACTTACTGAAGAAGGAGCAGCCACAGAACACAAGTTAGTTATAAAAGGGGATGCAGAGATGCAGGTTAGGCCCTGTTCACAACATCTTGTCTCAGCTTTCGCAAATGATCAACCCCAGCTAGAGAGATTAACTGTGTGTCGAGCCATGCAGCCATGGGCAGCCTCACCCTACCACTAGGTTTGTGAGCCCAGGAAGTAGTCCTCTTTTTGCAGCCTCTGGGGGGCAGAGTTTTCTTTCCTTTTCATCCAGGTTAGGAGAGGCCCCCAAGAGTTTTCTTTGTGTCTTACAGAAACAGTAAAACTAAGGAAAAAATAGCTTGATACTTTATCTATTTATAATCACTAAGAGGTAATAAGGCAGGGCTATTTTCTTTAATGAAGACACATTCCACAGAACCCACTGTGCTAGATGTGTGGCAAATATTTTCATAAAGGTACTTAGGAGACTGTCTTGTCCGATAAATTATACAATGCAAAATAGGGCTAAAAGCTTGCAGTGAAACAGAGGTGACAGACATGCAGGCATGATGCAATGTGTGTGCAAACTGTGACAAGGCACAGAGCAGCGTGGCAAGGAAAGACTGCTAATGGTCTGTGTCAGCATTGGTCAGAGAAGACTTGCAAAAAATGGAAGTTTAACCTGAATTTTGAAGGATGGATAGGAGACCTGAGGCTGGCAAGAGTGAAAGGAGAAATTGCAAGCAGACAAGAGTAGGGGCCATGTTACAGGCAGAGGAGGCAGAAAGACACAGAGGACAAAGGACGTGAGAAAGCACAGAGGCCTGAAAGAATTTGCCGTAAGGAGTTTGGTACTGGTGGAGTGTGAAATACTAAGGTAGGGAAC